GCAGATTGAGGCCAGGGTGGGGTGGGGCAGGGTGTGGGACAGAGCCACAAGTAGCTGCTCCCAGCTCTGCATGCACCCTGGGGGAAGTATGGGGGGCATGTGCCCCCTGGATCTGTGCATAAGGCGAGGGCGGGCTGCTGCTGAGGCCTGAGGTGGGGGTGGCACCAGGCTCTTCTCGGCAGGTGCTGGACTGGGGCAGCACTTGGGGCTGGGGGCTACAAGGTGGCTATAACCACCCCAGAATTCACCGTAGTCCCCCCTCCGAACACAGTCACCACCCACCCTGAGCACAGCCCTGGCGCAGCCCCTGCTGGGGAGAGCCCAGTGCCGCCTCTGGCCCCAGTCCACAGGAGCAGCCTGCCCTCACCTCCTGCAGAAACCCAGGGGGGCACACGCCCCTTATGCCTCCCCTGGGGGTATGCACAGTAGTGGAAGCTGCCCCGTCCTTCCTGTGGCCCCTGGACGAGCCACTCAGGGCTCCATCCTGCTCTCTGCCCCTGCTGGGCAGCGCCTGCCCCAACCCCAGCCCCACTCCTCCCTCACTGTGGGGGCCTCGATTTACTCCCTGACATACCCCTTCCTTTTCCCTGCCCCCTCCTCTCCAACAGACTTATCAACCAGATGCTGCTCTCCAAATGGCCAGGCTGGCTGCATGCATGTGGTTGCAGTGTGTATGCACATGGCATTTGTCGGTGACATTATCAGCCACATCAGGCAAAAAAAGCCGATTGCTGGTAATGTCAATTTTCCTTTTATCGGTGCTGGTACAATATGGACCAATACAATATAAGTGCACCTCCACACTATACATATACACTGTGTAGTAAAAGTTTTCTTATTAACTAAATATTAATAATACAATATTGTGTTGAATGGAACAATGTCCTGAATTACAATAATAGCTATTAATTAAATGTTAATACCTAAATAACTGTTCATCACTGCAGGGCAAAACAGGACCCAAGGGAGAGCAAGGCCTATCAGTAAGCATATCTTGTTATTAATCCATTAATGCAAAATGCAAATGAAATACAAGATGTTTTGATTTGGTCTGTGTATCACAAATAAATTTTTATTGGAAATGTTTCTGGACTAAGTTCTGGACTAAAAATGTAATGTAATGAATTTACATTCTGCTTGTGTTTTTAGAGTTTTTTAAAAGTGCTCTTTTATCTATCTTCGCCAGTAATAAGTAGCTTAATTCTCCTAGAGAGAGAGCAAAGAGTAGTTACCTTTGTTTCAAAATACTTGGAGAACTCAAAAGATTTTTAATGGCAGAGACAAATTGGAAAATTAGAGGCTGGATTGTGAAGTTTTGACTTGAAGTTACACTCCTTGTTTAGAACTGAAAAAAATGCAGGATTTTAAGATAGTGCCAGTGTTTAAAATATTCCATATGAATAGGTTACTCACTGAGTCAATAACTATGAAGGCCCTTGGTAGTAGCCTTAGTACAAATATAAGGATTGATCCTCTGCATTTGAAAGTTAGGTGCCTACACATTTTCAGAAATCCTACTATGAATGGATAAAGTACATTATGAATGAAATAGATGTGGTAGTAACTACGTTAGTAAGAGAACAATAATGCAACATTTAATTGTCTTTTCTTACCTAGAGAGAAGATATAATTAAACTAATTAAAGAGATATGTGGTAAGTGTTCAATAAATCTTATATTTCAGATCCTTTTCCTCCCCATTTAAAAAAGTAGAATATAGTGTGATTGGTGACTGGTTGGTGTACAGCACCACTTTAATCCCAAAGCAGGTTATGAAATGCAGTATAAAACTATACCGGCATATAGTAATTATGCACTATGACAAATAAAACCAAGTATATTAATAAAACAACTAATTGTGATCTACTTGTTATTTTTTCTCTGCAGGCTGTGGTATTAAATGCAAGGAAATACCTATGGAGCTTATATTTGTTATTGACAGCTCTGAAAGTGTAGGACCAGAAAATTTTGAGATAATCAAAGACTTTGTCACTGCTTTAGTAGACAGAGTAACTGTAGGTAGAAATGCTACCAGAATTGGTCTTGTGCTCTACAGTTTAGAAGTTCGGCTAGAATTTGGACTTAACAGGTATACAACTCAACAGGATGTGAAGCAAGCAATTAGGAAAATGGTGTACATGGGCGAAGGCACATACACAGGAACTGCTATACGCAAAGCAACCCAAGAAGGATTTTTTGGGGCTCGAACTGGTGTTCGAAAAGTAGCTATTGTGCTTACAGATGGCCAAGCAGACAAGAGAGAAGCTATTAAACTAGATATCGCTGTCCGAGAAGCTCATGCAGCCAACATTGAAATGTATGCAATAGGAATTGTAAATACTTCAGACCCAACGCAAGTTGAATTCTTGCGAGAACTAAATCTGATTGCATCAGATCCTGACAGAGAACATATGTATCTCATTGATGACTTTAATACTCTTCCAGGTGTGTACCTTTTTTTTTCTAGTTATGTCACATATTTCTAAATTAATACCAGACCCATTTAGACCTATCCCACGTAAATAAAGGTTTTGCTTTTGTTTTTGTGTAAACCTTCAGAGATCTTGACCTAGATTCAGACTGTACCTGGTACTTTCTGAGAGAAAAGGCTTTCTTCCATACATAATTTTTGTGGCAACCACTTTTTAAATCTTGTCAGGGAGTGGTTTGCCCCCAGCCCAAAGGAGCCTAAACGCTGCTCTCAGCATCCTGTAAGCTGCCCATAACTCAGTGAGGTCATTCTAAAAGCTGGAAATAATGGGAACAGCAGAATGCTACAGCCACATCTTCTGTCCTTGACCATGCTGCTGTTTGGGGTCTTGGAGGATGTCTTGACCTGAAACATTAGTTCCATGGAATCAAGGGATCCACCTAAATATAAATTCCCAAGTAGGTAGTTAAGCCAGCTTTCTAACTGATTATCACCATCGGTGCAATGCAAAGCTGCCAGAAAAGGGGCCAGAATCTGATCCCATTGGGTCAGACACCTTGAGCTAAAACATAGTTACTTACACTTTTACTTAGCTGGAATTCTTTACATGAGTAAGAAATATTTGGCCTATTATTAGATACAAACTAAAGAAGAGCTAACTTTAAGAGGCTGAAAGGCTGGAATAAGTATGGCTGGTTGTTTAGTTTGTTTGGGCTAGGGCGTGCCACGTACACTGGAACGCATATAAGAGAGATTTTAAGGGGCGGCAAATTTGTATTAAATAAAAACTCACAGTCTGAGGAGCTGTGAGGTTTTTGTTTCGTTTTTCTCAGGGGGAAAGGGGGGTTGTATATATAAATGATCCAAAATTATTGGCACTTACATAGTCTAATTTCTAGCATTTAATTATGTTTTTTTTAAGCTTTGGAGTCCAAGTTAGTAAACCAGTTTTGTGAAGATGAACATGGTGCCTTAATATATAATCGTATTGGAAATGGTGCAAGCATAAGCAGACCATCTATTCATTCAGTGTCTTCTAGTTCTTCACTTTACTTACTTCACAACAAAAATGATGCTAATGGACAGTGGGTTTCTTCAGAGAGACATGTAACAGCTATGATAGAAAACTCTATGAATCTTGGCAAGCTGTCTCAACCATTAGTTCCGGTAAAAAAAAAATTACTATAAATAACCAAATGTTCGCATATACCTCTGCTTCTACTCGATAAAGTATAGCATGTTTCCTACTTCTTATTACTGACTGACCTACCAGAATTGACCTGTTAACTCATTGAGAGTTCTTGGAGTTACATGTGAGGAATATGAGGTCTGATACAGCACACATGCAGTTAGCTAAGAGTCTGCCTGGAGAAACAAAAATTATCAGAGTTTTGAATATAACAACATTTGTGCTGTAATATAAGGCATAAGATATCAATGTACAGTTACACCCCCAAAAGTAACTCTAAAAAGTGTCATTTCTACTCACTGATCCTATATTACATATTTTCAGTTTACTGAGGATAGAGTTTGGTTACAGCCAGCACCAAAAACCTAGTTTGGGGAGAGAAGAAAACTGAGGTTTAAAGTAGTAGTGGAAGGAATCCATTAGAGATCCCATAAAAGATTAAGAGCCCATCTTATTTTGAGGGGCATATTTAATCTCCAAGAACTTGAAAATGAAAGAAAATCAAACATTTTATTCCAGACCAAAAAGCCACTGGTGGTAGTTTATAAAGACTCTGAAGAAGATTCTGAGGTTGAGCAGCCATTCTCCCCCTCAGTGAACACCAAAGGTATTTTCATTATTATTTTGTTTATTATTTCATCTCTTAGTTTAGACCAGAGAAAAAATAATGTCTCTCCTTTTATTTCACCTACAGTAATGGTATCAGCATTACCATCTTCCTCATCCTCTTCACCACTTCTGCCATCAGACCAAGTGCTGTCATCATCTCTTTCACCTTCCTCTGTGGTGCCAGGTTACATATTATATCTGACTTTCCATTTTGATTTCTTAAATAGAAAGTTACCTTTAATAAAGATCATAAATCAGAGACAGTCTTTTGGGATTAATCAGTTTCCTAGGTTTTAGCAATCCTGTGGAGTGAAGGGACCACAGAATTTTATAATGGATTCAGTCCTATTGCTTCCCCAACATATTCATCTAACATGCCCTGCCTTGCACAACTGGTAAGTCCTGCTGCCTCCTCTACGATGGGAACAGGAAGAGTAGGGGCTGTGATCGGAAATAAGTTAAAATGGAGCGCACAGTGGCACCATACAGAGTTGAATGCCGGCAGCTCAGGTAGAAGGCACACCAGCTAGAGGCAAGCCAACGAGAAGAAAAACTGCCTTTGTTCATAGAAAGCTCAGAGGGAGTTAGACTATGGAGGCAAGAGGCCTCACTAAATAGAGAGGGGAAAGGGAAGGGACTTGAAACAAGAAAGACAAATATGGCTTCTCTTGGGAGAACAAAAAAGGATTGATTTTATGCTCATTTGAAGAAATAATAAAGTCAGTCACTGATTGCTGCAGATTAAGTAATTCATATTCAATCTTTGAATGTAGTTTTTAATTGCTTAAGGCAGGGGTGGCCAATCTGTGGCACACGTGGCATGGACAGCTCATGTGTGGTATGCAGCAGACCAGGGCTGGGACAGGGAACACAGTGGTAGAAAGTGCAGGAAGCAAAAAACAGAGCAACAATTGGGCAGAGAAAAGGGACCACAGAGGCACTCAGGGAGGGTGTGGGGCCAATTTGTGGCATGTTTGCCAAAAAGGCTGGATCCCACTGGCCTAAGGAATTCCCATCTGCATAGCATCCAAAAACTGTCAGGTGCCACACAAAAAAGAGCACTACCCTTAGAAATGTAAATGTGTCCCTGATAGAAGATATGTTTTCTGGCATATTCTG